ATAATAGTTTTAATGATTTTTACATCGTCAGTTCTTTTTTTTTTCTGCTCTGTTGTCAACATGTACAGTAATTGGAAATCCAGAGTCTGGCCCGTTTAGCGTTAGCCGTTAGCTTCTCCAGCACGGTCAGCTGGTTTCTGAGCTCCAGTTGTTCTACAAGACCTCCTTGACTTGTACTCACAGGTAAACAAGCAGCATGGCTCCAACCACCATGACGAAGCGGCTAAAGGAGGAGTAGAAGTAGACGATGCTGAGCAGGACCCCAGCTCGGGACACGGCGTACAGCCAGTCCAGCCAGTCGTGGTTCAGCCCGTCGTCGTTTAGAACCGGGCCGCCCTGAGCGTTCATCTGGATGGGGTTGGCCGGCTGGTTCTCTTGTAAAGGGTTCTGGGCCGGGTTGGGGCCGAGCGGAGGTTGGACGGCTTCGTCGGGCTGGGCCGGTTGGTGAGTCGTGGAGGGCGGGGAGGCGGCAGGAGAAGTGTGGGGAGGCCGAGCGGCGGCTACTGCAGCTTGGCTACGAAGAGGAGGCGAGGAGGAAACATGGGAAACGTTTGAACCGTGTTGAACAGAGACTTTCACCGTGCATCTTGTAACGGACATCTCTCTGACATCACTTACTACTGCATGTAGTAATGCCGCGCGTACATCTGCTGCCACCATAACATCTGCATAGGCACATACACGGGGTTAGGGGGCACGTCGGCAGGGAGGTCGCCTTGCAAAGGGACCCGAGCAGCATCTGGGCTGTTCAAGGATATAATGCATTAAACAACGAAATAACTAATCAAACCAACATTCACACAAGCTAAAAATGATAACTCTTTAAATTTAACGCAGCTATTTCCACAACATCTGCCAGTCTACTCAGTCARCGGTGTGTTCCTGACCAACTTACCKCTGAGGGAGACCAGAGGTGCTCTGCGAACTGGGAGGGGGAAAGCCTCCTCGATATCTCAACCCATCATGTGTTTCTGGGGCTGAGGAGGAAGAGTCCGACTGACTGTCCAGATTTGGTGTGGTGGCAGGGGAGCCGGTGCCGTCTGAACTCTGTGAAAATAACYTAAGCACAAAGTCTAACTAATTCCCAAACGAAGATTATGCAGAAGGTGGCTGGATATGAAACAAAATCAGAACAAATACAAAAACCTGCAATAAAACTGAATAATTTCCAACAAAATTCAGAGTTTGYACACAAAACCTTCTGTTAAATCTGTTACCTGACTGATGGTTAAAKCAACAGATACACAAAAATAAGGTGTTTTGTTTTGTTTACGTACTCTGGAGTCAGAAGCGGTGGAGCTGGACGGACTCTGAGGCATTGGCGAGCCTGAGGGACCAAGAGCAGTACCATCCAGATGCATCATGTGGGATTCATCCCGCTGCAGGTCATCCAGGCCAGGAAACAACCCGAGGGAGGGGGTAGGCAATGAGCCACAACAGATTGAAAACAAAGAAATTAAATACAAACCATACCGGAAGTCAGATGGTGTGTAAATACAGAGCAGTTCAAGCTGCAACTAACACTTGTAGGTCATCCACAGCCAATGTGGTTGCTCTGATTTATAAACATGGCAGCTGAAATTAAAAGTTTTTGCTTCCTGCAAAACAGTTTATCTAAAGATTGTTTATATAACACAGGAAGTATAATTAATCAACTGTGTTAAAACGTGTGTAGAAGAAAGTCTTTCAGCGGAGACGAATTGTCATCAGAGAGTCAAATATCTAAATAAAATAAAATAAATAAATCTAAAATACATTCKTTTGCTGTCTTACCTTTTTAAACTCGTCTTGTTAAAGGACCTTTTCTGAATTTACCATCTGTTGGTTTTACAGCTGCAAAACAAAAAGTAACATTTATATCAACACACACTCAGGAKGGTTTGTCAGTAATTTCCTGCAGTAATCTGCTGCTACAGGTCACTGAAAATGTTTASTAGCCCCACATGTCCACCTACTCCTTAACATTTCAAGTGTCTCTCCAAACAGAAACTATTTGTTGAGGAGCTTCAGTTCCTGTTCTGTCCTGACACCTGATCTTACGTGATTACCTTTAAACTGCAAAAACAACTCCGCAAAGACAAAAGGACAAAAAATGACCCCAAACAGGCTGAACCCGTTCACTTCGGGCATTAAACACATCAAATTACTAAACACTGAAGAAAGCAGAGAACTAGGGGCGGGTCAACCTCGAGTTCTTTCGCTTTATTTCTGAAACATGAAGAAAATTGTTAGCTTAGCAGAAGCTAGCATCGCTGTGGTTTGCTAYCGACGCGTTTGGTTTTAACGTTTTCCGCAATGACCACAGGTTTATCTGTTTAAAAGTTATTAGTACGGACAGGTTTTCTTTTTAATGATTGTCAAAAGGTCGTCCCTTTGTACCTGTTTACTCAAGCGCCGTCTCTTCCTCACTCTTCAGCTCGGCTGCTTTTTTGTTGTTTTACGTCGGCTCCGCCMTGAGAGCGGAAATCACGTGACCATCCCAGCTGATCAGTGGGTTTGCCCCCTTAACTGTCCGCCGGAGAATAATCCGGATAGAAGTGATYACGAGCGGAGAGGGTGGAGTTTATTTGTTTTATGAGAAGCGCTATTCACTTTATTATATTACTCAGAGTTGTAAAGTAACTAAGTACAAATACTTTGTTATTTTTGGGTATCTGTACTTTACTTGAGTAATTATTTTTCAACCTACTCCTTACTTCTACTTACATTTTCACACAATTATCTCCTTGCATTAAAAAAAGGCAAGAAGTAGAAAGTTACTTTTATTTCATTTTTGCTTGTTTTCATTCCAGCTTGTTATTGTAAAAAAATAAATGCTACCCATATAAACTGTGCCTCCTAGATAGAGTGAATTTAATTGTGGTTGAATGAGAAGTATATAATTCTAATACCGTATTAGTTTGTACACAAACAAATCATGTCACACACCAGCAGGACATAATCATTAAAATAAAAGGGCTGTACTTAAGAAGTATTTGTATTTCTTGAATTATATTTGGCCGCAGCCCTCAGATAGATTTTCATTTTGTGGAAAAGGTTTGTGCAGCCTTGATATATATATATATAAACTGAAACAGCTGGACTAGTGCATCCTAAATTTAACATCAATTAATTCTTTTAATACAACAGTCATTTCTGCAGTTTTTGGGGAGGTCACCTCCTAATAAATGTCATTACAGAAAATCTAACTGCTAATTTTAAATCAATACTTTTACTTTTGATACTTAAGTACAAAAAATATCAGATTCTTTAAGACTTTTACTCAAGTAATATTCCAATAGGAGACTTTAACTTTTACCAAAGTATTTTTTGTTAAGATACTTGTACTTTTWCTCAAYTATATCACTTTGTGAAACTTTGTGCAACATACTACTGCTGACAACAAATTTGTAAAGAGAGTTTAGAGAAACGTGTGCAGAGAGACTGTTGGTAGAAGGATATTAGAGATGAGAATGAGGTTAAACAAAAGTTGCTGAATAATCTATTTTTTATTTACTGTTACTAATGTACTGTACAAAAGAAAGAAAAAACGGAAGTCATGAAATTAACACACTATTGAAGAAATATCAGAAATATCTTCAGGAGGTAATTGAAAATATACTGAAACAAAAAACAAAATTCTGCAGTACTTTTACAAAGCCTTGAATAACAGAGAGACACAGACAGACACAGACAAGTACAAAAAATAAAAAAAACTGAGGTCATTTTACTTTAAATAGTTGTCTTGCTGTTTTTACTTGAGGGCAGAACTGTCAAAACTGGCACGACAGAAAAACAAATACTGACAGACACAGACATAAACACAGACATAAACACAGATATAAACACAGACATAAACACAGACATAAACATAGACAGACATTCACAGACAGACACAGGCTGTATCCTCCGAAGGCCGAATTCTTCAACTGGTGAGGACGAACAAACCAACAAGAAGAGGACATTTTTTGCTCCACCGAGGGCAACTACAGGGCGACATCTCATCTGAGTGTTGGAATCCTCTTGATATTTTTAARAGGGCTGCCACAAATGATTATTTTTATAATCGATTAATCACCATTTATTTTTTTCGATTAGTTGACTAATCGGATCATACGTTAATTGAATATAAAACAAAGAGCTTATCGCGTTAGAATGCAGCTGCTATTATATAACCATGGTTAGATTTTAGCTATATGCTAACTAAAAATAATTGCTGTGGAAGGTAAGTTCTGCTCTGCAGATATTACACAGGTTTCTCTTTCATTATCTTAAAATGATCCCACACTTTGAGCTCTGTTGTCAGGTAGCCATGATACCAGAGCCTGTCTGTATAATGTCTTGTGACGTCCACGGCCTACCCCAGTTACCACTACTGTGCATGTGTGTCAAGGACAGAAAGGCAGATGTGGCAGTGGAAGGTGTCAAAGCAGTTTGGAGAGAAAAAAAAGTAAAAAATAACAACAGAAACGACTAATCGACTATTAAATAAGTCATCGACTATTTTAATAATCGATTAGTCGTCGAATAATCGACTAATCGTGGCAGCCCTAGTTTTTATTTCATTGTTTGAGTGGCTGCTGTAACTTTTAATCCTGTTTGAAGTTTTGATAAACGAAAAAGTTTGATGTTAGGMTTAAATATTTTTATTGTATCAGTCYTTTTWTCAGAATTGTATCTGTCTTTAGTCACTGTCCTCTACATGTTTGTTGCAATTGTTTCTATCAGTAACATGTTTTCTTTGTCTCTCTTCCAGAGGAAAACGCACCTGGACCAGTCATTTGGTGTCTTTCCTGTCCTCACAAACCCAGGGTTACCACCAACAACCTCTCTCGTAATATTACGACTTTAATTTGAAACGTTTCAAACACTGTAGAAGTCTTACGTGTAAACAGTTTAGAGGAGCGTGTGCAGAGGGACAGTGTTGGTGGAAGGATGTTCCATTACAGCTGCAGCCGCCAGGAAAAAAGAAGAAGGTTATAGATTGTCTAAATAAACGGTACGTTAAAAATCGATTAAACAACTTTTTATTTCATTTTAAATGACATAAGCATGCCTGACTGAACACAGTGAAAGTGTTTGAAGTTGTTTCTTTTCAGTATTTAGTTTTTCYAGTTTACAGCCAACACTTGTTTTAWATGTATAGGAGCCATTTATAGTTCTGGGTATAGTTTGGGTTCTTATTTTGATTTTATAGTTCAGTTTGGTTTGGTGGCAGTGTTTGTTTATTTGGATTGACACTTTGACCTWTATTTTTGCTCTACCACTGGTGGCGATGTGGAGGGGAAATCTATATAGGTGGCAAGGTGAGAAGGAAAGGTGAAGGGTGTAGGGAGGTCACACGGTTTTTACCGCTCTCTGTTAAAATACTGGTTAAACTCTCTCTTATATTCAAATTTTACCATAATTTTCCATCTATTTGGCAAGCTGCCATAGACCGCCACTCTGAACTTTGTAACATTTAATAATCAAAAATAATATAGTAAATGGGAGTACCCCCAAACATATCTCCCAGTATGGACATTATACTAATTGGAGCGCGCCAAATGCCTGGATTCCCCCGCACCCAGAAGCGACTAAAATGTTGGATTTGATAGTCGCTACACAAAGTAAAAACCCGAACTTTTAGATTAAAGGATACGCAACTTTATGAAGAGGACTTCTGACTTGGAAAAGTTTGGTCCACGCCCATCAGTCTGGACATTATACTAATTGGAGCGCGTCAAATGCCTGGATTCCCCCGCACCCAGAAGCGACTAAAAGGTTGGATTTGATAGTCGCTACAATATGATTCTGAATTAGTGGATCTTTGTTCTTTATTACTGTTTCAGTTTGTGCAGAACCTGCTTGGTCAGCTGTTTACTGTATCGGTTGATCTTCCAGTGTCCTGGCATCCAACCCAGCAGGAAACGGTGAAAGTCTGTCCAGGCGAATGCAAACATCTCCCTCCACTCTTTTTCCAGAGCATCAGAGTCCACATCTTTGTTCACAGACAGCTTCAGCTCTGTGAAATAGTGGTCCAACAGACCCGGCACCCTTTTCTCACACTCCCTCTCGTCCATGCAGCTTCCTAGAAAATACACAACATCTTTCATCCCACACCCGCCGCCCACATACTGAAAGTCCACGGCTGCCACGTCGCGTCCCCTCGCTGGGAAACAGAAATTGGCCAACTTGGCGTCTCCGTGAACGATGGTCTTGAAGCGACACTCGTTTAACTTCCCGTCGATGTCGGCCGCTGCGGCTTTCAGGTCGCCGTCGTCCACGGCCTCCAGCTCGTCGGGCCGGGTCTCCAGGTGCCAGTAGGTGCCAACAGGCCACAGGCCTTCTGGTTCCACACCCAGGAAGAGAGCGTGGAAGTGGGCAAGCCAGCTCAGGCAAGCCCTTATCTCTCGMTCTCTTATGCTGGTCCTGTAAACGACAACGTTTACAATTTATTCTCRTCTAAATAACATTTCACTCGTCTTTATCTAAAGCCTATAAGAACAGAAAAAGAGGACCTGATTTGTACAACTGTATTGTACTTTTTACACCTGTACTAACTGGTTTACTACATTTTGTTCCTTTTAAAATCTTGCGTGCTTTGTGAAACCTTAAATAAAAACCTACAATTAGACAAAAGACTGATTATTTTAACAATGAGATTTGTAGTTGTTATACATTCAAATTATGGATTCCTTCTTTGATTAAAAAGATTAAATTTAGCCTTTTGCAACTTGTTGCGTATCAATAAAGCCTTTTTTTTTTCATTTAACAAATTATAATTTTAGGTTTAAAAAGATAAAAGCTGATTTTGATGGAAGATTTGTAATAAATGATACCTTCTCTGATCATAACCCGCCACATCCAGGTCCTCCAGCACGATCAGCATCTCGTCGCCATAGGAACGGGCAGCCAGGCAGGACGGCACGCGGCAGCTCTGATTGGTGGAATAGTTCTGGTACCAGTGGGTCTCCACCTGGTAGGATCTCACCTTCCGTCTGTGGGAGCGGTCCGTGTTCCAGCCGCCCGGGTGCCCGGCCTCCGCCGGAAACTTGACGTGCTTGACGACCACCGAGGGCCGGTCGCAGCCCTCCAGGTGCAGCCGAACTATCTCCCCGTAGCCGCTCCACAGAGTCTGGATCTTCGCGCCGACTCGGAGGGAGGAGGCTCCGCACGCCTGCAGGACCAGGTCCTGGTACTCCTGTTTCATGTCCACAAACGGATCTGAGCCAAAGCGTTTAAAAAGTGCAGATTATTTAGMTTGTATTTTTAAGGCTGCTGCTGTTAAAGAACAGTCGGTCCGGACCGGTCCGTTCGGTTCAAACCAGCTTCCTAGACTTCCGGGAAGATGGTGACCGGGGCACATGTATGGGAACAAATATTGGTCTTATGTATTTTGTACTCGTAAATCAGACTTTGTATTTGTTTCCATAGTATGGGAACAAATATTAGTCTTATGTATTTTGTACTCGTAAATCAGACTTTGTATTTGTTTCCATAGT